TTGGACTCCTGTTAAGAAGGTACGCAGCGGTCTCTAAAGCATAGCCCCGAAAGGACTTCAGAAGATTTGTCTGACTCATCATCGACCGAACCATGTCTAACAGTGTTCGGTTCCTCCGCTTAGACACGCTGATGTCGCAAATCTAGATGTAGAAATATGAATCAAGTGATAATTAACCTAGACTCAACAAATACCGCAAGTGTACAGATCGATTGTAGTAGCTAGGGTCGAACACAAGGACAAATAAACAACGGAATCAAATCCCAATACAAATCTAGATCCAGAGGAGATAATATGAGTGTGAGAAGCGTAGCAAAGCAAACGATAAAACGGTTCTAAAGACTATGAATGAAGAACACTGCAGGCTTCGGGATTGCTTTACATGCAAGGATCTTTCAAAAGATGCACACTCTGTGGTTTATCTATCCAATCCAGGGAATTCAAGCTCTAAGGTAGAGATTAACTCTCCCAAGTCTAATCTCACTATCCAGGTTTAATCCTACTAATCTTCCGATTCAATAGTCTAAAACTCTGGATGCATGAACGAACGCTATCATAATTCCTAGGCAAATACCCATCTCCCGATGTGATACCTGTTCTATTTATTGAATTAGTTCCAGGTAATTCCATATGTCTATGTGAATTAAAACCCTAAGTTCATTCAACCAAGTGGCCAACGAGATCAAAAGTATTAAGAACAATTCAATAAACTGAATGGAATAAATAGATCCACAAAGTCTGGAAATAAAAACCAAAGATCCTTACATAGCAAATCCCTAATCTACAGCTATGGGACTACTCGTTAAACATCGAGATATCAGGATTCATATCAATAACACAAAACATCGTAAAAGAGAAGAAATGAAGAATGCTTAGTCGATTTTCCGACTTCGTAATCTCTGTCTTCTACTCCGATCTCTTGCCTCTTGATAATCTCCCTCTTCTTGTGTGCTCTAGGGTGTGTTTTCTGTGAAAAGTCTGAATGTTTCTCAACTGGGATGCTAACCCTAGTTAACTTCCTCTTTTCTGCCCTGATTTGGGAATATTCCTGAAAGGTCCCGTAAGTGACACGATCGTGTGATTCCGAGTGACACGATCGTGTATTGATTCTAGTGTCTGATTTTTCGCGACTTGACCCGATCGTGTGTTGGTACGTGACACGATCAGGTGAGACTTCAAAACTTCTCTTATCTTGGCGAAATGACCCGATCGTGTGTTGGGATGTGACACGATCGGGTGGACTCTCGATCTTATTGTGGTCTTCTGGATGATGAGACACGATCGTGTGAGTACAAATGACACGATCGTGTGTAACGTCATAGCTCGTTCTTTTTCGGGGTTTTTGTCCTTTATTTCACTCATATTGCTTGTACCTGCAATTATATACTAATCAAGCGAGAATCAATGCTAAACACGCAATTGAACATTCTTGATGATGTAAAACTAGATAAATACGTCAGAAGAATGCGTGTCGAAGTTATGTATATTACGTGTTATCAAATCCCCCCATATTTAGCGTTTTGCTCGTCCTCGAGTAAATACTCCGTGAAAAACGGTCTGAAAGGAGGGTGAGACAATGACATAACTCAAAATGATAATCGAGAGCGAAACCTCTATCCGACCTAGATCCCAGTGAACAATGATCAAGTCTGTCTAGTATGATCTCCCTCTCTAAAGGATAATCTTTCCTAGCCATGGGATCTATACCATTACTTAGAACCAATCCAAGAACTTCAATCATCTACCAAGCATGTTTCTTGAACCTATTACACCATTCTACCTAATCGTATCTAGTCTACGCTTTCAGCATTCATTCATTTTCTCTTTCTCTCTTTTTTTTCTCATCTAGCTAGCATCTCGGGTTCCTAGGACGTTGAAGTTGAAGGATTCCTAATCAATTTTTTTCGATTTTGTTTATTGGATAACCCGAACCACAACTTAGACCCGAACCATCAAATCGATGCACTCATGTCCTCGAACGATTTTCGTTGATGAGATAATAACAGCGGAGTGTCGAGATGCTCACTATCTTTTTCTGCACATGAAGAAATAAGAATGCATTTGATAACAAACTTTACTGATTTCAACAAACATGGGAAAGGTTCTTATAGAAACTTTTCTACCTAGCTAGACAACATCGGTCCCATGGGTTCCAACCAACGATTTCTATCCCACAAGCTATTCTAGACAATCCTAAAGATCAAGCAATCAATTCAACAAAACATAACCACGTTCAACGGATCACAATGTTTTTAGGACGTTTCTACTCTCTCATGCCATAAATCATCATATCAATGCTGAAAACGGTTTTTTGCACGTGATCTTATATGTCCTTAATGCACAATCCTAAAAACAAACTATATGATCCTAATGCATCCTATATGCACATGCAACTAAAATGTGAAAATAAAAGGAAAAAATGCATGCAACACTACTCTATATGGATATGGTTTGGCGTTAGATGAATCCTCTCCAAGACTTGAACTGGACACTGTCCTCGGTGTCAATTCTCGTCTAGTAGAGGCAACCAATAACATGAGTTAAAAGAGAAGCAAACCAAAAAGAGAAAAGAATACTTAGCTCGTGATGTTCGTTCACTCGCACTTAAGTCTGCCTACGTCTATCGCATAGCTAGCTTCTTTGCCTCCTCAATAGCTTCTCATTAGAACTTAACCTGGTGATAAGAGACACAAACCAATATCCGATGCAAAAAGAACAATAAAAGAAAGAAAAAGACTAACCTAAGACTTCGGGTTGCCCCCCGGAAGCGCTTGTTTAAGGTCGTTAGCTCGACTCGTCTTGCTCATGTAGGAGGGGGTTCAGGGGGAATGCTTCTTGGCGGAATGGTTTTAGGTGGAATGAGATTAGATGGGAAAAACTCACCGGACTTGGTATGGCTTCGATCGATGTGATGTAGTTCTTTATTTACCTTACCGATGGATCAAAGATTGAGTGGTGGAAATTGGGGGTCAGGATGGAAGTCCGATGGAAGAGGTGTGTGTCTCCTTGAATATCAGTTTGGGGGACCGCTCGACCTGAGATGGGAATGGTCTCGGACGAGTAAACAACCAGTTCAACCTTATATGATTTCACCTCGAATTTTCGCTTTTGTGAACATGGTTGATCAAACTGAATGTCTTCCTTGTGTTTCTTTAGGCGTGAAGGGAACGAAATCGGTGGTGGTCTTGGCGGTGGAGGCACATATTTCGGTTCTGTCTCTTCGTAGTTCGTCCTTAAATGCTCATCTACGATCAAAAAGTCAGGCGTATAATCCAAATAAGCATTAGAACACTCACCTTTTTTATGGCATGTGGTGACTCTAACTCAGATTGCTCCACGTCCTTCATCGATATGGTGTTAAGATACTCTCTGGAGTCAATTTCTGGTCGTTTCATAAAGGTCTCTTGCCATTGGGAGGCGATTTTAGCAGTTCTGTTGGACTGAGACTCGCGTAGTGATTGCATATAATTCAAGAGGTCCTCTTGTCCCTGCAAAACCCGAACAAATAAGGAGTTTATCTCATAATCTATCCCCTGCTTAGTTGCAGACGATGGAGGGGCATATGCTTTATCGGGTGATCCTTCAAAATGATAATATGTCTCCTCGCCCTGATCATAATGATACGAAGGTATAGACTGATAAGTCTGAAATTGATAGGATCCCTGATTCTGGTGGTAGTTGAAATCCCAATGCAGAGTATCCGAAGCATATGGATCATAGGAGAGAACGGGATAATGCGTTCAACTCGAATCATAAGGGTCAGGGTACGGATCATCCATGAAATAGCTCATATCCTCGATTCTCTATTCATGCTCTGAGAAGGACGTACGTGTACACAAAAGAAAACAAAAAGAAAAGGAGACGAAGGGAAAGAAAAAAACGAAAAACAAACAAACAAAAGCAAAAAGAAAACAGACCCAGACCAAATAGAGACCTAATCCAATTGTCTACATTGTCCCCGGCAACGGCGCCAAAAACTTGATGTCGCAAATCTAGGTGTAGAAATATGAATCAAGTGATAATTAACCTAGACTCAACAAATACCGCAAGTGTACGGATCGATTGTAGTAGCTAGGGTCGAACACAGGGACAAATAAACAACGGAATCAAATCCAAATCCAAATCTAGATCCAGAGGAGATAATATGAGTGTGAGAAGCGTAGCAAAGCAAACGATAAAACGGTTCTAAAGACTATGAATGAAGAACACTGCAGGTTTCGGGATTGCTTTACATGCAAGGATCTTTCAAAAGATGCAAACTCTGTGGTTTATCTATCCAATCCAGGTAATTCAAGCTCTAAGGTAGAGATTAGCTCTCCCAAGTCTAATCTCACTATCCAGGTTTAATCCTACTAATCTTCCGATTCAATAGTCTAAAACTCTGGATGCATGAACGAACGCTATCATAATTCCTAGGCAAATACCCATCTCCCGATGTGATACATGTTCTATTTATTGAATTAGCTCATGGTTAGAATTCCATATGTCTATGTGAATTAAAACTCTAAGTTCATTCAACCAAGTGGCCAACGAGATCAAAAGCATTAAGAACAATTCAATAAACTGAATGGAATAAATAGATCCACAAAGTCTGGAAATCAAAACCAAAGATCCTTACATAGCAAATCCCTAATCTACAGCTATGTGACTACTGGCTAAACATCGAGATATCAGGATTCATATCAATAACAAAAACATCGTAAAATAGAAGAAAGGAAGAATGCTTAGTCGATTTCCCGACTTCGTAATCTCTGTCTTCTACTCCGATCTCTTGCCTCTTGATAATCTCTCTCTTCTTGTGTGCTGTAGGGTGTATTTTCTGTGAAAAGTCTGAATGTTTCTCAACTGGGATGCTACCCCTAGTTAACTTCCTCTTTTCTGCCCTGATTTGGGAATATTCCTGAAAGGTCCCGTAAGTGACACGATCGTGTGATTCCGGAGGACACGATCGTGTGAGTCTGTTGATTCTAGTGTCTGATTTTTCACGACTTGGCCCGATCGTGTGTTGGTACATGACACGATCAGGTGAGACTTCAAAACTTCTCTTATCTTGGCGAAATGACCCGATCGTGTGTTGGGATGTGACATGATCGGGTGGACTCTCGATCTGATTGTGGTCTTCTGGATGATGAGACACGATCGTGTGAGTACAAATGACACGATCATGTGTAACATCATAGCTCGTTCTTTTCCGGGGTTTTTGTCCTTTAATTCGCTCCTATTGCTTGTACCTGCAATTATATACTAACCAAGCGAGAATCAAGGCTAAACACGCAATTGAACAATCCTGATGATGTAAAACTAGATAAATACGTCAGATGAATGCGTGTCGAAGTTGTGTATATTGCGTGTTATCACACGCCGTTTCACTGTGGCGTTCCAGGAGGAGTTAATTGTGATACAATACCACAATCAAACAGATAGTCAGTGAACTCTTGGCTCATATACTCGCCACCACGATCCGATCGAAGTGTCTTGATCGTCTTGCCAAGCTGGTTCTGTACTTCGTTTCTGGAAGCCTTGAACATTTCAAGTGTTTCAGACTTATGTCTTATCAAATAGACATAACCGTATCGACTGAAATCATCAGTGAGCGTAACGAAATACAGATAACCTCCTCTAGTTGGACAGCTCATTGGTCCGCATACATCACTATGTATCAGATCCAATAACTATGTCCCTCTCTGTCCTTTCCCCTTGAAAAGATGCTTTGTCATCTTGCCCATCAAACAAGACTCGCAACATTCAAGAGACTCAACTATTTTAGAAACTATTTTAGAAACAATCTCTTCTCGTGTTCTGCAACTATTTTAGAAACAATAAAAGATGAAACGTTTCAAATCAGATTGATGTATGTGTGAGGCTTATAACAATAAATTGTCTTTGAATCGTTTTCAAGACCAAACTTTAAAAAATATGGGTAGATTTTAATTGATTTCAGTTTTTTTTTATAAAAGGTTAAAATATATTCATCAAAATTGTTTGTGTACAAAACCGATCATGATCGAATACCCGTACAAAAGAGAATACCCATATACCTCTAACTTGACACCATAACTAATATGTAGAAGCAGCTAACGATGAGATAGAGTGATGTAATACCAGTCGACAAGGAGATCCGGATCAACCCTACGAGAGGAGCCAAGGAGTGAGAGTATACAATTTCGGACCATGGCATTTAGTGTGCCACAAAGTGAGTCAGCCGATGAAACAACACCTCGGAAAAGCCTTGTATTCCTTTCTGACCATAGTAGGTAAAGTGAGCATTGGAGAAGAATTAGGGAAATAAGATTCCTATTATGGGACAGATCATTTCCCGGATGTCTCATCTAGCCCAGGATGTCTTGGAGATCTAAAGGTGGCCTGCGCCAAATGCATCGGGCAAAAGGGGACCAGACCTGACTACTGTAGCTGCAGCGGAAGAAGAGGTGAGAGTGTGACTCCTCCTCTAAACTACAGAGCAAACAGGTTGAAACTGCAACTGCCCCCATCGGTAAAGTCTGTCACGCGTCGGTAGTCGGCATCGAAGAGCCATCCATTGGATAAAACTATATCTCGGGACTCCCTCAGAAAACCAAGCCAGTGAGTGCCACGACACTTCCGACGAAGGCTGACGGAGTAATTTCCAAGTGCCTGCAGAGGAGAATGCACCTGCAAACGTGTTTTGATCATTCTTCCATTCATACCTATCTGGTCCGCTATCTGAGCTTGGCAACTGCAAGGAAGCCAACCTGATGTAGAGGTCCAACACTCTCTGTGATCTAGCCGCCGGGAGAGTCCAGCCCGAGTCTGAAACAACGTCTGCTACTCTGGCCTGTCGTGGAATCCTCAACATGCGGGGGCCATCTTCACCTACATGCTCGATCAGGGGGCCAAGGTCTGTCCAAGTATCAAACCAGAATGCAGCTCGTTTACCATCGCCCAAGGAACATCGAATAAACTGCCGCACCACCGGTTTTAGAAGTAGAAGCTTCCTCAGGTTCCATGAGAGCCTAGAGGATGGTGAAGTATCCCAATATCCTCTACGTCGGAGCACTGCTGATGGGTCCATGCCACCCAAAGAGAGCCCGATTCCTGGAACAACATCCATATCAACTTCAATCGAAAATCTGTATTAAAATCTTCAAGTTTCCGAATGCCTAGTCCTCCTTCTGATTTTGGTTTGCAGACCTCAGCCCATGCTCGCCGATGTGCTAGTACTAGATTTCCATAGGAATTTTGAGCAGAGACCGTCAATTATCCGAAGAATGCCCTTGGGGATGACAAAAGATTGTGACCAAGAGTTCGCCTTGAGATCCTGTCCAAGAGAGGTTGGAAGTCATGCTTTGAGAGTTTCCAAGGGCTGAGAGGCAGCCCCAAGTAAGTCATCGGCAATTTCCCCAATCTCAAGCCCAAGGCTGAACTGATGCGGTTCGTGTCGTGTTCTGTCATACCACCAAAAAATATCTCGGATTTGGAAGGGTTCATGGATAAGCCCGACTGTTGAGCAAAGCCCTCGAGGACACTTTTGATCGTCGTGATGGAGTTGATTGACCCCCTACTAAAAATGACCAAATCATCAGCAAAAATCAGATGTGTGAGTAAGGGGTCATCGCACCTAAAGTGTAGTTCGAATCTGCCTAGGTTGGCGGAAATGTCGAGAAGCTTTGTTAGAGGTTCCATTGCCAGTATGAAAAGGTAGGGAGAGAGTGGATCCCCTTGCCTCAAGCCCTGATAACTTGGGAAGTAGCCAGAGAGTTTGCCATTGACAGATACCGAGAATCGCGGCGTAGTGATACACTCTCGGATCCATTCCACAAACACCCTTGGAAAATCCATCGTCCTAAGTATTTCGAGTACGAACTTCCATTTGACAGTGTCGAATGCCTTTCGAATGTCTACCTTCCATAGAGCGTTCGGACATGACGAGCTACGGTGATAATCTCTGATAATCTCTGTGGCTAGCAACACATGCTCCATCATCATACGACCCTTCTGGAAGGCTACCTGATTCGGGGAGATGCATTTCTGGAGTATAGGCTTTAGGCGATTTGCGATGATCTTCGAGATGACCTTGTAGATAAAGTTGCAGCAGCTGATAGGCCTGAAATTGCCAAGTTTTTCTGCACCGACTCTTTTCGGAATGAGGGTGATGGCTATTGCGTTTAGTTCCTTAAGTAACTTCCCCGTTCTAAAGAATTCTTGTACCGCGAGCGTCAAATCCGCCCCAACGATCTCCCAAGATGAGGTAAAGAACTCTTTGATGTAACCGTCGGGGCCAGGACTCTCGGCATCGCCTTGACCACAAGGTGAATCTCCTCACTAGTCACCGGCTGAACTAATTTATCCTGAATATCTGTTGTACAACGGAAATAAATCAGCTCATCAAGCCCAAATTCAGGTTGTGGAAGTACCTCATTATCTCGGTGGCCAAGCAAGTTCGAGTAGTATTCCACTACATGGGCTTTGATAGTGGAGTCCTCGACCAACCGTTGATCAGCATCGTTCACCAAGTAGTGGATGGTGTTTCTAGCAGTCCTCGCCTTAGTTGTTTTGTGAAAAAAGCTTGTGTTCCTATCTCCAAGCTTTAGCCACCGCAGTCTAGATTTTTGCCTGAAGAATCTCTCTTCCGCAGCCAACAGGATCTGCCAAGAATGTCGGATACGTCCTTCCTCCAGTGCCAGCTCCGGCGTCGGTTGGGACAAGAGTTGTGTTTGTATCTATTCCAGCCTATTTCCTTCCTCCCTAGTGCGCGCAGAGAGTTGACTGAAGTGGGTCTTGTTCAGTATCCGCAGAGGCTGCTTAAGGAGCTTCAGCCGCTGGCACAGACGAAACTGGTGGAATCCGAGCATGGGGGATGACTCCCAAGTCTCCCGAACTACCTGCTTGAATTCAGGGTGAAGGGATAAGTGATGAAAGTATTTAAACGGACGGCGAACCTGTCTACTAGCAGATGGTAGACGGACTAGGATTGGGGTATGGTCGGAAGGCCCCATCGGAAGAATCTCAGCATAGCTCCGGGGGAAGTCCTCGAACCAGGCTTCGTTGATGAAGGCTCTGTCCAGCCTGACAAACATAGGGTCAGCATGTTGTCGATTCCACCAAGTGAATGTGCCACCTCTAGTCTCCATATCAATCAACCTGGATGATTGTACACAATCCCGGAAATCTTCGAGGCCTGGAGTGATCGGAGAGGGTGCCGGGTAGTCAGATCTATCCTCCGGTCCAAGAGTCTGATTAAAGTCACCAACAATTATCCAAGGAGCTTGGGCTAAGAGCGGATTCCCCGCTAGCTCCTTTAAGTGCTCCCAAAGTGGCCTGCGCTCAAGGTACGAGTTACCCGCATAGACAAAAGTAACAGTAAATTTAGTATTACTCCCTGGAATCGGACGCCACATGTGACTGCTTGAGGCGAACTCTGGTAGACAATGAGTGAAACTGAGGGTTCCCAAACCACAAAAATACGACCATTGCTTTCAGGGCCATGATTACTCCTGAACCTCCATCCCGTAGGAAGTGCACTCAAAACTCTCATACTGTTAGCTGCTTGAACATGAGTCTCCAAAAATCCCCCGACTAGGGGTTAGTGTCGCAAAATCCATTGTCTAATTGCATGACGCTTATTACGGCCATTAAGGCCTCTCACGTTCCAACAAAATAACATGGGTATACTTGGGTATTCACGCCTTCCTAGTGGCCTTTTGGCCACGCTTCTTTGATTTCCCCGCCTTAGAACGAGGGGAATGGTTCAACTTCGACTGGCTTGGGGAGCCTGAGGGAGAAACTTGGGACAGGGGGACATTAGCATCCTCCTTGTCCAAGGGGGGAACATTACTATCCTCTTTTTCCATAAGGGGGGGCATCATCGGAGGTGGAGCTGTTGTTATAGGGGGACCATGCTCAGCCTGGCCCTCAGAGAGCTCCTGGTTCGATGGGGGTTGAGGAGGAGGATCATCACACAAACAAATCTCCTCGGTTGGATCCTGAGAGGGGTCTTCTACAATGTTACACCCAACATCCAAGTTTGACTCCGTAGGTGGGTCCTCAGCAACGGTTGGTACTGGAACAGTCGGGCAGCCAACCTCTATAGACGGAGCAGGAGCCATTGCCGCAAGCGGAGGAGAGGGGTTGGACTTGCCCTCGGGGATTGGTATGTCTGAGCTCTGCCCTGAGGGGCTATCAACCCTACACTCGATCCCGCTTCCTGTGTTGTATAGTTTGTCGTTGGACGGTTGGTTTTCTTCTTCGCATGTTCGGCTAAGCTAATCTCCTTTGTCCGGGCTTGGGCCCTCGGAGGAGGTTGCGGGGACATCGGTTTGACTTATGGCCAATCTCAGAGCAGATACTACAGGTTGGGGGCAGCCACGAGTAAGACACGCCAATGGTCACTTCTGTATCAGACGGCAACTTAACCACTACAGTTCTGGGAAGGGTCTGTTGTAGGTTGACCTCCATGAAGATTCTCGCCACTGAGAAATTCAGCTTTCCCTCTGTAGCCTTGTCGAGGTATAGCGGGTCTCCAATAGTTGTTGCAATCCTACTCAAGCTATCCTCATCGAACAATTTTAGTGGTACATTGCGCAATTTCACCCAAGTCTGGATGGACCGGATTGGCGGTTTATCGGGGTCATGATCCGGATCCCATTCGGAAACTATCATCGGGCATGAGCCAATATGCCAGAATGTGCGGCCAAGAATGGTTTCCTTAACCGTCATATTCGGAACTCTAAACAGAAAACATCCATTTCCCATATCATGCACCCGTATTCTTTGTCCAGGTCTGACCCATACTGAGTTCACAACTCCGATTATCTTCCCCATCGAAGGGGGATGCCCGTAAAACTGTCCGATTACGAAATCTGCCCATTCTGTTTTTGCAGCCACTAGGGATTCCTGCGAAATATGCACTAGGGGAGCACCAGAGGGATGGGTGGAAGGTGTACCTATACGTTTTAGTTTACGTATGGAGTCACGAACCATACTACTCCACGACTTCTGCGGGGGAGCCGTTTGGTCGGCCTGGGGAGCGGTGGTTTCTAGGGTGCGGCGAGATGAGGCCAGGACCTGAGCCGCTGGAGGCCCACCCGTTTGGTGGGTGACCGGAAGAGCCGCATCGGCAATAGACGCTGCGGAAGCAGAAGGAAAGCTCACTGGCGACAGAATCGGAACTGCTGGAAGTCCGCTGGTCGGAAGAGACACACCGGTGGTGACCGGAGGAGCCACATCGGCAAAAGACGCCGGGGTAAGGTTTTGCTCCCGCTGGGTGAGGGAAGCGGAGGGGGAGCTCGCTGACAGTGGAATCAGAGCCGTTGAAGGCCCACTGGCCAGGAGAGACACGCCGGTGACCTGGGTGACCGGAGGAGGCCCACTATCCTCGCCGGAGACGGGAGATTGGGGCATACCCGGAGCTTGACCGCTGATGTCAGGGGAGAGAAGAGGAGGATTGACAGAGCTGGAAGGATCGGTCAAAACTCCGCCAGTGGAGGGAAGCGGAGCTGCGAAACGGCCGGTCAGAGCGGTGCCAACGCCGGCAGAGGACGGAGGCTGGCTCTCCGCGAACCGAGAGGAATACGGGATTGTAGACGAGCGAAGTCGGGGAGGCATCGAGAAGAGATGAAGGAGAAGAAGGAGATCTGAAATGGGGGATACCGACCGGAAGTGGCCGGCCGGCGGCGGCCGATTTGAGGGGTACGGTGATTTAGGGTTTCGCTCTCTCACCTTGCGGCGGCATCTTGTCGAAGCGATATCCTTATAAACAAAGTATTGATTTCAGTTTTGAACAATGGAGAAGATAGAGATGGATTTCGAATCGATTTAGGTGTTCTAATTTTTTCTTTTTTTACAATTGGATTCACTAAAAAATTGGTTTAATAATTATGGCATGCATATGTAGCAATATAAATTGATGTGTTATCACTCGTCACAAAACACGTAGAATGTCATCATAATTATTATTTGGTCAACATTTCATTTGGCACTCCAAAACAAGTTTAGAAATTATAAAGTCAATTTTCTCAAATTCATGAATTATTCTTCCTTGTAAAAAGTTTAGGAATTATTTTTTTCACCAATTTACAAATTGAAAAATTTTTATGGGTTTTTTCTTTTATAAAGGAAAAATAAAAAAATTAAGGAAAAACTGTTATTTTTATGAGAATGTTTTAGCACCTGATAAAGGATTGGACATAATTTGTAAATTTTAGAAAATAGAAGATTTATTTGCAATTTTTCTAAGATTTCTCCTTCCTCCTCCCATAGTCGACCGTAACCCTCTTTTCACCTATCTTCTATTCTAATTTGCCTCCCTATTCGCTGTTGACCGCCGATCAACATCCGTGGCCACCGCCCTACCATCATTGGTTCACTTCCCTTCTTTTTTTAAAAATTTTTTTTCTTTCTTTTTCTTCTTCATCAACATCGTGATGGACTTACTCCACCACTATCATCGAATTTTGTCGATTTTTGGGGAACGGAGGCTCGGTTTTGGCCGACTTGAGGGGTTTGAAAGCTCTCAATGAGCTGCATCTTTCTTAGGTGGTGACGTTGTTAGAAACAGTGAAATGTTGATGAAAACGGTGAAATGTCGCCAGAAAACCACCGAGAACTGTCGGAGAAAAACTAAGATTTAGAGCAATATAGGCTAATTTTGGTGAAAATAACATCGGATTTGGGCTCCTTGACTGATTTACATAGGATATGGAAAATCAAACAATTTTGGGCTAGTGTCACTACTGATCGTCGTCGCAGAATTTTTTATTATTATATGGTTTAGATCTTTTCAACCTCGTAATTCTAGATTTGAAATCTTTTTTTCAAAAATCAAAGTATTTGGAGACCTTTGAATGATTTAAAATAAAACGGTTTATCGGATTTAAATCTACCGACCAATTGACATTTCGCTGGTAGTGGGATAATTTTAGCATGACAGTTACTAATTAAGATTATTAATTATCAATTAATTATAGACGAAGAAGATCTCGAGATTGTTGAATCCGAGATCGAGGATTAAATTAGATATTTCGAGATTCATCGTTTTATACTGAGGTGAGAGTATTTAATAAAACTCCACTTTTCTGTATTCACTTAGACATAAAAGATAGATAACGTAGATATCATGCGGTTAGGATTTTAGGATAGATATATTAAATTCTTCTTGTGAATTAATATTGTTTTGATAATTGATGATTTCCTGTTAATTGATTATTGTCTGTTGGTTGCGTTAGGTAGATATATTATATCCAAATGACAAAACCTAGACTAAAACGATTTTAGTAGGATACAGATCGATTGTAATATGAGGGTCAAACCATGGATCAGGTGGTCGTGATGATCCGTTCTAATTCTAACTTGTCGAGAGAAGTTGTTGATTTCAAACAATAATAGAAACATTGTAGGTTTGGGACTGCCTAAGCTTGAATAGATTATTTATATGGATAGAGATACAATTGTGTTTTTACTTCTATTAAGGAAACTCAAACATCTAAACTAGGAATTTCTCGTCAAAACATAAATTTTTCTATCTAATACATTCATCTATCATCGTTTTCTATCACAGTTCATAAATTGAATTAATCTTCTTTCACATGTCCAACTAATACGTACAGAAAGGTTTAATCTAATCTATCTTATCAATGAAGTCCGGATTAAATATTCCAAATTCATTACAAATGAGTAATCTTAAGTTTGATTCATACATGTGATCAATATGATGAAAGTATTAATAACAACTCATAAAACCGAACGAATAAAAAAATGCAAAAGATCACATTACAGTTTAAATAGATCCATAACACATACTAGATCACTAATCTACAATAAGTGTCTACTCACAAATCATGAAACAAAAAGAGTAAATCATGCATTCATAACAACATTTCAAGAATAGGAAGACTAAAAAAGCTTATTCGAAAACGACGTCGCAATTGTGTCACGGTTATATATTATATGTATATATGTTAGTTATAATTATTTTTATTTTAATATGTATATTATGTATGTATATAAAATTAATTATATTTTTTATGTAAATATATATATATTAGTTATGATATATATATATTGTAGTTATCTGTATATGTATTTTATTATTTATAAATAATTTTATTTTTAATATATATATATATATGAATATATATGACGAGTCTTAAATTTATAACCCGAAACACAACTAATCCGCAAGTATACAGATGTCGTAGTACCGGGGTCGAACACAAGGACTTAAGCGGTTAAGCTAGGAATCGACTAACACTAGGAAAATTGTAAAAATAAAGTTGGATGATTGTTTTTGTGGTTTTGAAAGTTGCAGAAAATTTAAATGAGAGAAATAAAATCAAAGACAATCACAATTCAAGAGGGGATAATCAAATGGCCAAAGGTTATGAGTTTCGGGATTCACCAACATGCGGGATGTGCTAAATATTTAGAATCTATTTCATACTTCCTTTGAAATTGGGGATTCCAAGATAAAGATCGGGATTTGCTCTCTCGAGCTAAATACCCGCTACCCAAGAGGGCATTCCATCTACTTTCGTAACTTGGAATGGAATCTTGAGTGCATTGAACTCTCTTGTCAAAATCCTAGGTTGGATTGAACCGAATTTCTTCGCTTTCAACCACAACTTTATTGAATGAATGCATCAAGGAGTCAAGGTGTCATGTCTCCATGGAAACCAAGACTCTAAAATCAACTCAAGTGATTTTCATCCCAAGAGAGCATTAAAATCCATTCATCAATCCAAAGCATTCACTCTCATTTAATGGCAATCCATCTACTCATGAATCCTGTCTCCAAAGAGATTCAATCAAAGAGGGATATGAAAAATAAGCATAGAAATCACCCAAAGAATGAAATGAGAGTCTAATCAAAGTATAAACATAGATTCATCAAGTGGGTTCACACATCCTCACAGGCGCCCCGCCCGGCCGGTCCAGAACGGACGGTCCACTAATGGCAGACCATTCGTTCTTGTTACTGGAACGGACGGTCCACGGGAAAGAGATGCTCAATAGGATCTTCAATCTTCAAGCCAAAGCAAACTCCTTGTTTCTCCTTCAAGATTTCGGCCCTAGGTCTTCTGGAGGAGAGAAAATCGCCGTCTTTTTCGTTCCCCAAATCGAGCTCTCTCCCAAAAGTCTAAAAAATCGGACTTAAGCTGTTTCCAGGTCACGCGGTCAGCCAGACCAAGGTTTGGCCCGGCGGACCGGACGTAAAAATGAAGGCGGAGCGCGGCGCAAAAATACTCCTGGTCCAGCTGACCAAAACTGGTTAGTTCCGGACCAGGTCTTCAGAGGGTTTCCGCGGCTAACTGGGCGAGAGACTAGCGGACTGGGGAGTGGCTAAAGCGGTCTGGTCCGGCGGACCTGGGTAGGTCAGCTCCAGACCAGGTATTCAGTAGGCTCATCCGGCTGATTCGGGACACGCTGGCGGACTAGGCATTGTGCGAAGAACGTTCGGTCCGGCGGACCTATGGCGGTCAGCTCCGGACCAATGATTGCTTTTGGGTTTGGTCAGCTCATCTTCGGTTCGACGGACTGGCTGAACACGCAAAATTCCTGGTCCGGCTGACCAGAACTGGTCAGCTCCGGACCAGGCCTTCATTTTTGTCTGGTCGGGGGCTTGGCTCAGCGCTGAGCGGACTTGTGTGGCAGTCTCTTGGTCCGCCAGACTAGAGTTGGTCAGGGGCAGACCAGATGAGCTGCGAACTTTCTTCGTCTTCTCTCCTCGGTCGGACTGGATGAACTGAGCAGACGTGGTCCGCCGGAATGAAATCTAGTCAGGGGCGGACCAATGGTCTGTTTTCTCCGATTCTCGCCGAATTTGTGCGTTATGCCCTCGGGGTCCTGCCAAAGTCAAGAAATAGTCTCGGAACCCTAGGATGGCTCTAAAAATGCCTAAGAGTGTGTGGAAACCGTTTAGAAACCAAAGGCATACTCGTATAAAATCCATATAAAATCTGAGTCATCAAATCTCCCCAGACTTAAATCTTTGCTCGTCCTCGAGCAAATAAAATCAATGAAACACAAAGTCTGGGAAGGACGGTGAGTTAGAAATCGATCTTTGATGAGTTTCAAGATCTAGTTGCATGTCCACTGCTCAACTTATGTGAGTAGAATCGAATCTAGGCTAGTCTAGCTATTTTCTCTTGTCAGCTAAACTTTCCTAAGTATAGGATTTATATGTCGTCCTTAGTCTACCATAAGAGTAATTCCAACTTCCAAGCACTCTCCTAAACCTATTTACCGTTTTTCTCCTCTAAGATATGTTGTCTCTTCATTTATTTTGTCACATTTTTTTTTCTTCTTCCTTTCAAGAAAGTGCTAAGAGAAGTAATATCCCGAGTTCCTAAGACGTTGAAGTTGAAAAGTGTCTCCACTTTTGTTTTTCTCTAATGATCATGACAACACTTGTCCCACAACTTAGACCCGAACCGTCGAATATCGACGCACTCATGTCATCGAATGATTTTCATTAAGGATATAGTGACAGTGGAGTGTTGGGATGTGTATACTTTCTTCGCTTATTCTTACATCATTCTTTCCAAGAGACTATCTATCCTATGGGAGAAGCTTCGGAAACGGTTTTAGGGAGATATTTAACCTGGGTTCGATTGGTCCTACTCTTTGGCATACCTAAAGACAACAATATACCTCACAACCTAGAATCACAAGCATCAAAGAGAGGGTTCGCTATTCACCTATCATCGACAATCT